ATCTGCATATTTTTCTTTCTCTGGTCCTTCCTTCCCCCCTAATGACATTATTAAATAAAACCTTTCCGTTTCCATTACATACATTTTATTATAGATCTAGAGATGTCACCATTGGGTCTCTGTGCTTCTCGATGCAATGCAGGTGGGAGGGGCCGGCAGGGTGCTGAACGTAGCTTCCTGAAAACATCACAGCACCATGCCTCAGTACTGCTCTCAGCAGCCCTGATGCAAGCAGTGGGCCGGCTCTTGGGAGGAGGTATGCAAATACCAAAATGCCTTGATGGGTGGGGGTGGCAGTCTGGAGGAGTGGGCGTTCCTAGGCAGGCTGTATTTGCATAGGTAACGCCCACATGTGACTCTGAGCCTTTATGATTTAAAGAACTGAAATTGCATGTATGAAAGGGGCGGGGGTCAGTCAGGCTGGGGAACGTAGAGCTAGATCCTTGTTTCTCAACTGGTGGGTTGCGACCCAAAAGTGGGTCGCGACCCCGTGTTCAGTGGGTCGCCATGTGCCTTCCACTTCTCTAGATGAGAGTCTCTTAGCCTCCTTCTAGCACTGCGAGTTCTCACACAGAGCAGCCATTTAGAATATGCTGCCTGGTATCGAGTGTCAGCTTGAGGTGGGGTGGGCGTATGGCCAGGAGGAAGCTCCATCCATCCATCCATCCATACATGCATTGCTTACAGCTACCTTACGTGTCCTGTAGAGGAGCCTGGACCGGAGTGACGTCACATTCTGGCTCCCGGCACCTCTACAGGGCACACAAGGAAGTTGTACAAGCGATGCATGTATGGATGGAGCTCCGTCACAGCACAGCAGCCCACACTGGACCCCAAGCTGAGGATCCACTCCAGTTCTGATAATGGCACCCCAAACACACCTCCTGCCCACAGTTCAATCGCCCGCACTGTTCCATTGCAGTGCGACTTGGGTCCCCGCTTAATGACCAAGGACAAATGTGGGTCCTGAGGCTACACAGGATGAGAACCACTGAGTTAGATGATACTGGACGGCCTCCAGCCAGGAAAGGAGGCGGGCTCTGTCTCACTTGCTGCAGCTTCTAATGCTCATAGCTCCCAGTGTGCAGTGATATCAGAGGAAGAGGAGGGGAGACGGTACAACTGTGCAAGACTGAGAGGGAGGCCGGAGGTCAGATAAAAGACTGAAGGGAAGGATGGAGGTCAGATAGAAGACTGAAGGGGAGGACGGAGGTCAGATAGAAGACTGAAGGGGAGGACAGAGGTCAGATAGAAGACTGAAGGGGAGGACGGAGGTCAGATAGAAGACTGAAGGGGAGGACAGAGGTCAGATAGAAGACTGAAGGGGAGGACGGAGGTCAGATAGAAGACTGAAGGGGAGGACAGAGGTCAGATAGAAGACTGAAGGGGAGGACGGAGGTCAGATAGAAGACTGAAGGGGAGGACAGAGGTCAGATAGAAGACTGAAGGGGAGGACGGAGGTCAGATAGAAGACTGAAGGGGAGGACAGAGGTCAGATAGAAGACTGAAGGGGAGGACGGAGGTCAGATAGAAGACTGAAGGGGAGGACAGAGGTCAGATAGAAGACTGAAGGGGAGGACGGAGGTCAGATAGAAGACTGAAGGGGAGGACAGAGGTCAGATAGAAGACTGAAGGGGAGGACGGAGGTCAGATAGAAGACTGAAGGGGAGGACAGAGGTCAGATAGAAGACTGAAGGGGAGGACGGAGGTCAGATAGAAGACTGAAGGGGAGGACAGAGGTCAGATAGAAGACTGAAGGGGAGGACGGAGGTCAGATAGAAGACTGAAGGGGAGGACAGAGGTCAGATAGAAGACTGAAGGGGAGGACGGAGGTCAGATAGAAGACTGAAGGGGAGGACAGAGGTCAGATAGAAGACTGAAGGGGAGGACGGAGGTCAGATAGAAGACTGAAGGGGAGGACAGAGGTCAGATAGAAGACTGAAGGGGAGGACGGAGGTCAGATAGAAGACTGAAGGGGAGGACAGAGGTCAGATAGAAGACTGAAGGGGAGGACGGAGGTCAGATAGAAGACTGAAGGGGAGGACAGAGGTCAGATAGAAGACTGAAGGGGAGGACGGAGGTCAGATAGAAGACTGAAGGGGAGGACAGAGGTCAGATAGAAGACTGAAGGGGAGGACGGAGGTCAGATAGAAGACTGAAGGGGAGGACAGAGGTCAGATAGAAGACTGAAGGGGAGGACGGAGGTCAGATAGAAGACTGAAGGGGAGGACAGAGGTCAGATAGAAGACTGAAGGGGAGGACGGAGGTCAGATAGAAGACTGAAGGGGAGGACAGAGGTCAGATAGAAGACTGAAGGGGAGGACGGAGGTCAGATAGAAGACTGAAGGGGAGGACAGAGGTCAGATAGAAGACTGAAGGGGAGGACGGAGGTCAGATAGAAGACTGAAGGGGAGGACAGAGGTCAGATAGAAGACTGAAGGGGAGGACGGAGGTCAGATAGAAGACTGAAGGGGAGGACAGAGGTCAGATAGAAGACTGAAGGGAAGGACGGAAGTCAGCTAAAATGCTCTCAAGCAAAATCATCACAAATATCAATTGAGAGGCCACTTTAGCAAACCACGGTTCTGAATCATGGCCACAGGGAGAAGCACAGAGGCCCAGTGATGACATCACTGGGTATAAAATAAAGTAGCAT